AGTTTTATTATTCAAATGAGCCAGAAACACGGGCGTAAATGCAGTGTTCCCGGCTGCACGGAGGAAGGGGACATTTTTCACAGGATCCGAAGACTTGACAGGCATGGATTATTGGATTATTTTTGTCTTTTAGAAGATCGCTGCAAAGTTTGATGCTCAGATGTTCATTTGCTCTAAGCATTTTACCAAAGACAGCTTTCAAAATCTTGGACAGCTCAAAGCAGGATTTGCTAAACTTCTTTTACTTAAACGAGGTGCTGTTCCAACCATAAGGCCATCGCATCCGCAAGCTGGCATCTCAGGGGTGACCACATTTGGGTTTCTGAAAAGGAGGACACTTTTGGTCCCGGCCCCAGAGGGGGATGAAACGACCGAAACCTTACCCAGTGATGGTATGCTTCCCCCCGCTTGCCTGGTGAGGTGCAGGGCCGCCGTTGTCCAGGCTACCATCACCGGGTCAGGTTTGGTCGCAGCTGGCTCCCTGTTTCGCCTACATGCTGCACTGCAGTCGACCAAAATCCCGGACAATTTTGAAATTCCCCCCGGACATTTTTTAGGTATGAAAAGTAGGACATGTCCGGGAAAAAGGGGACATCTGGTCACCCTACCATATCAACAATTTTGATGTTTCAGTAAGTGACTGCTTGCTGCTATGAAGCGTCTATGCTCAGTAGCTTTGCTCGTTGTAAACCAATCAATCAGCGCTAAGCTCATCTAAATATTCCTGAGCATACCATAAAAGGAAGAAAACCTCTCATTTCATTCAACAGCTTTTAACCAGGCTTGCATTAAGGTTCATAGAACAGCAAATATGCGATTTTCAGCACAACCAATGTTACACACCCTATTCAGAGATCTTAACGACCAGCACCAAATACCTTATATAATCATTCTATGACCCCTTTAAACCTGACAAGTAGACCAAGACATATTCACATCAATCCAGTCACTTACACACAATTCAACACTTTTTCCCGTACAGATATATACAAGCTCTAAATGGAGACAAATTCAGAAGCAAACACTAAACATATCCCTACACTTCTCATAAAAACACTATCCTCTCTGGTGTAGGGGCCAGAGGGAACAAGACCCCATGGACAGGAGGAGATCCCCAGTGCCCTTATTGTGGGAAGGGGGCAGGAAGTTTGAGCTCTTAAAAACAAAGAAAAGGGGCTGAGACCAGGTGCCATACAAGGCAAAAGAACCAAGGTCTATCCCAGAGCACCACCCCAGGCCCACCCCTAGGAGGGACATCTGTCTCCTGCTGGGATGTAGTTGCCAGTTGGACTACTGTGTATTTAAAAGGCAGGGGAGATTAGGTGTGCCCCCCACCTCTGAAACCCTAAACCCGAAGTTTCTAAATGCATTCCAAAAGACGCAGGTGGGCATGAGAATCCGAGGCAAAGCCATAAAAGCTGACCCACCTCCAGTGCCCCAGATATGCCCACCTTGATGTACCACATATTCAATTCAATTCAGTTTATTTATATAGCGCCAAATTCACAACACATGTCATCTCAAGGCACTTTACAGTTAAACCAGATCAAAGTCAAAAAGCCTTTATTGTCATCATATTCTGCAACGGATACAATGAGATTTTTGGGACTTCCATTTCAGCTACCATAAAATAAATAAATAAATATAAATATATTAAAAGGAAAAGGAAATGTAAACAGTTCTGGCACAGATTGTGGGGGGGGAATAGTGCAAAACAGGTGTAAAGTGACCGACAGTGCAGGTCGGAGTTGAGGGGGGCAATGGCTTGGGGAATAATGCAAAACAGGTGAAAAGTGTCCGTCAGTGCAGGTCGGAGTTGAGGGCGCCAATGGCTTGGGGGAAGAAACTGTTCATGAGTCTGTTTGTCCTGATCCTCAAGTTTTCTATCTAAGGAAAACCAGTTGATTGCACTGACTCATTGACTCAAATACAATCCCTCACACTAAGCATGCTTGTAGCGACAGTGGAGAGGATGTAGGTTTTGCTGAAGTCATTAATAATGCTGACTAGGTCGTTCATTAAAATTGGGGCATAAGGCACCACAAGCATGGGAGGACCCATCCTGGTCATAATCTTGACTGCCACAGCCAGATCAAAGGATGACAGAGCAAGAAACACACCAAAGCCAAGGCAGATGGCATGGCACACCTGGCCCAAAAGAGCTGGCCAGTCCAATCCTTGACACCCAGCAGCCAGACATATGCACACATACACTCATCATACAAAGACCAGAATTACCTATATCAGCAGAGGGATGAAGCAGGCTATTTGGCAGGCCACCTGGCAGGCCAACCCCAACAACCATGTTACAGCAGGGAAGCAACCACAAAGAAAACCAAGAGATGCCTTAGAGAAGCCAATGCCAATATTGCTAGGCATAGACATCTCCACCCAGAGGCAGCAGAAGGGGACAGCAGCCAAACTCAGAGCTGCACCAACCTAACGCCCAGTCTGCCACGTCCCCCCACCTCAACCCACCACATACAGCTGTCTAAATCCATGCCTGCATTCAGCCATCCACCATCCAAATATATATACTGAGTCAGGCCCGTACATCTGCACTCTAAGATATTAAAATACATACTCAATTTCTTTTTAATATCTTACAGTGCAAAAAAAACATGGTTTGTTTACACATATAGATAAAATAATTAGTAATGTTTATTTATTTTTTTTATCAAAAACATCTTTCTTCATTGAAAGTGCAAACACTGTATCTCCTATTTAGATAGTAAGCATCTTTTTAAAGATTTAATAATTAAATGGGAGCGTCAATTGAAAGGAAAAAAAAGCTTAATTCATTAAATAATGGCATCTAAGGGATTACTTATACCTTTCCAAGCAACTAATGGAAAAATCTTTACTAGCCTTGCAGTTATCTAATTTTTGTGCAGCACTATGAAATGCATTCCCACTGAAATGTGGTATATGAATAAACTAGCATTGCCAATAATTATTTTTCTAATTCTAATTTTATATGAAATTGGTTAATTTATAATTAATAAGTTCATAAATAGGGCTTTGGTTGCTGATAGGGCCGCCAAATATTTATGTACAAAAGAATGCAAGGTTCGCTGGACCTCTTGGCTGGCTTTTTTTGTGCATAAAATAAGAAAAAACAAAAAACAAAAAGACAGTTACAACAGGTAACACTCATTTAGTTTTATTTAACTGTAGTATAAAGAACTTGACATACAGCCTTTTATTAAAAAAATTACATAATACTTGCTGTTTTTGCAAATGCTTAAATTATCTTTAGTCCTATGTTATAACCTCTATTATTGCATCCCACTTGCAAAAAACATATGCATACACATCAGCCAGTAAAGACTTCATAATTTAGCGAATTGATTATTAACACCACCATCACTACAAAGAAGAAAATCACATCATGTAAAAAGAAAAATTAGGAATAAGAATAGATTTAAACATGCACAAGGAAAACAGGCTTCAAAGTTAGCCAACACTCAAATGATATAATGTACGCTGACTTGCTTTGCAATTCATTTTCTTCTCATTTGTACTCTGTTGGAACACATTTTTCATTCCATCTATACCACAAAGCACAACTCCAGCAGTTACATGGTTAAATGTTTGAGTACAACTAAATTATTTATGTTTTTCCTTTTGTAGTTTAACAATATTAAAGGGGTTTGGAAAAGTTAATTAAATAATGGTGAGCCAGCACTAAATTATTTCTACCATACCAGAAACTATGCATGAGAAAGTTCATCTTTTAGAGTAGTTCTGCCTTTATTTAGGCATGGTGGGAGTCAGTTGCTTCACATTGCAGTGAAAGCTATCATGCACACGGTGACCAGCAGAGCTGTAAGGGAGAAAAGAGAGAAAGAGAAGGCACATTTTAATGGTAATAATCTCTGTTTTTTCTTTTTTCGATCAAGAAACTGCTTATCCCGTAAGCAACGTATAAGATTGGATGCTATACATAGCCTTGGTAAGAAATTTCTTTGAGTGTCATTATACTTGATTATACAAATTATGACACTCTATTAAATACAAATTTTAGAAGAGGAAAAGCATATTTACTATATTCTTTTAAATATCTGGGGAAAATAATGTGATTAATCTACAGATATAGACATAACAAAAAAATCATCCATATTTTCTAACTTTGAAAAGGGAGGACACCAGATCTCCCAATTAGCCTCATCCCTGTCACCGTCTTTTCAAAGAAGAGGTAATCAGGAGGTAATGTCCATAAAAAAACAAATAAAAACAAAAAAAAAAGGAAAAACTTAATTTGTTCAATATTGGCAAGTATAGAATTTCTTATACTTTTCTCAGTAACCCTTTCAATTTTTTTTACTACAGTAGTAATACCGCAATTTATTCATTCCAATGGCGTATGGCTGGTATGTTTCTCCTGATATTTATCTTTAATGATGAGCTCCTAGTCTTTGGGTTACAGGGCTTCTTTTCTATCACTCCATTTTTAGCCTTCTCACCTTTTATCTATCTGATTTAATTCAAAAGGTGTGCTGGATGAGATCAAAACACTGAAACAGCTTTACTGTAGAAAAAATCTAAATTAATAAAGAACTTTTAATTAAAGTATTTTACTAGATTTTTTTTTATCACATTTTAGTTGTGATGTAAGCACAAATAACCCTGTTTTTTGTTATATTAATTTGTATTCAATAACTTTTTTTATTATATTTTTTTTATTATCTGGCATTTATATGGGGGAATCCAAACTTCCAACAGCTTTTCTACTTTAACCTTACCTGGCAAGAATGACTGTGTGGCTGTGACTGGATAAGCAGATGAAGAGGTGGTGTCGTTGGACAGCTGATTGGTGATGTTGGCAGAAGGGTCAGAAAGGTTTACACGTGGCGTAAGTAACTTAAATACTGGTAATCCCAGCACCCCAGTACCTGGAAAAAAACACAAGATGATTCCAGAATTGATATTCTTGGACTGTAAATGACAAGTACTTCTCGTGGTTGCTTATTGATTGCTTACTGGCATCGTAAGGTCCAGTTGTAACAGACAAAGAGAAACTTGCTGATGATGCTCGGGTCCTTGGGTTTGATAGGTCAGCTGTAAATATACACTGGACTTTGCCCTGGCTGACTGTGCCCTGCACATTGCTTGAGTCCAATGACTGAAGAGAAAACAGTTTGATTAACTGAATGTATAACCATGAGGTCAATTCAAAACTTTGGTCATGGAAACTGACCAATCTGCCCCCACCCCCTATTCACTTGGGTACAAAGGATAACTCACATTATCGAGATCTAGATTAGAATCTAACTCACATTAGTCACATTGAGACTAGAATCCTCAATGAATCCAGTGAAGAAACGGACAGCATTATTGTCTCTTGCACAGATGTAGGCTGTATGTCTGCTGTTCTGTTGAAAAATATGAAGTGGCATGCTTATTATATAACCCTTTAGACTCAAACTACGCTAGTGGCTCTGGTTTAAATTTTATACTACTTTCTTTGAGAAATATGCAAACATGCAATACCTGACTTGCGGTTTCTGAGAGACCAGCAGCAATATAACCATCAGTCTGCCCTGAGAGCTCAAAATCATATTTTTGTCCGTTTTGCTTGGCAGAAAGGAAAAAGCAGTCTCCAGTAGTTGGATCACATTCTGAGGGTTCCTCTGCACAGAGCTTTGTGGATCCACAATCTCCTCTAGAAATACTTTCCTGCAGGTGTTAAGACATTTATTTCAAATATTAAACTTTAAAAACAATCCAGTAGAAGTTATATATCACTTCTAATTTCTAATTTTGTTATGTTATTACTTTTGTTATTTTCTATCACTTACTGAAATTGCAGGGACAGTGGAAATTGCAGTTGTTCCATTAGTAGTTGCTGCCGCAGTGGTTCCACCAGTAGTTGCTGCCCCGGTGGTCCCACCTGTTGTTGCTGCACCCGTGGTCCCACCTGTTGTTGCTGCCCCGGTGGTCCCACCTGTTGTTGCTGCA